AGGTGGGCCGGCCGGCCGGGCCAAAGCGGCTCCGTCAGCTCCCGGGCGAGGGCCGGAGCCACGAGGTGCTTTTCCAGGGGGAAAAAACCAGTTGGGATCGGTGGGGAATGGTGTGGTTTGTGGTCTCCGGAGGGTCGCCCTCCTGAGCCGCGCCGGCGTGCGGTGACGGAGAGGCCGGCGGGGCCGCTCGTTAGCGTCCCGCAGCGGGGTGATTAATTCCCCCGGCCTTACGGGAGCGAGCTGCGCCTGGGTAACGCCGTTGGCGCATGGTGTGGGAAGGGGAGGAGATGGGATTGTGCTGGTTTCATTAGCCTGCTCTAATTACCAGGCGGGGGTGAATTCTGGGTGGGAAGGAGGCAGACGTATTGTGCTGAGGCTCTGCAGAGCTGAGACCGCTGAGATCTGCTGACGTTTCCCCGCAGAGGCCACGATGCGACGGTGCTGGCCCGGCGGGGCCGCGCTCGTGCCACCGCTCACCCTAGGAAGCTTCGCTGCCCACGTGCCCATCGGCGCCATGGAGGCTCTTTTTTACTCGACCACCTCCCTGGGCAGCCCATTCCACAGCCTGACAGCCCTTGCGGGGAAGAAATTTTTCCTGATGTCCAACCTAAACCTGCCCTGGCACAACTTGAGGCCATTCCCCCTCATCCTATCGCCCGTTACCAGGGAGAAGAGGCCGCCCCCCACCTCGCTACCCCCTCCTGTCAGGCAGTTGTAGGGGGCGATAAGGTCTCCCCTCAGCCTCCTCTTCTCCAGAATAAACACCCCCAGTTCCCTCAGCTGCTCCTCATAAGCCTTGTGCTCCAGACCCCTCCCCAGCTTTGTGGCTCTCTGGAGAAGATCTGCTGCGGTTCATCCCTTCACCTCCTTTCTGCATCCCAGATGATGCTCCCATCATTGAGAGTGACCCAGGGGGGCGTTTGATTGCCACCAGACCCTCTGGGGAAGGATGGGAGGAATGAAGGAAGCCCCAGCTCGGCACCTGCTTGGGTTTCCTGTGCTGCGGTTGCAACGAGACGGAGACCTTTCACGCGCGGGCTGAGCGGAGATGCAGAGTAGCATGGCTGGGACAACGCCTCCATCCTCAGCCCCATCCACCAGCTCCATTTTATCTCCCTTCTGGCAGACCAGGTGGCGATGGCTTTGCCGCTGTGGCTCTGTGCAGTGCCACGCAGTGGACTGTTCGCTGCAGGTGCCTTCCCTTAAGGCACAGGGACACCCCAAGGTACCCCCTCTTTTTGGGAAAGGTGCTTTATGTTGGGCTGAAAGTTAACTTTACGCTTCATGCTGAAAAATACCTTCCATGTTCCAACCGACGTATTCTCTGTTAATAGCTACTTTAATGCAATTTTTCAGGTTGGTTTTTTGTTTTGTTTTTTTTTTTTAGAATTCAGGAAAACAAATTTGGCCAAGAGAAGAATGGGAGACAAGCAGGAGAGATGGGAGGGAGTAGCTGAAATTTTCCCCCTGCCCCTCAGAAATGCTTCAGAGAAAATAATTCATTTGAACTGAAAATTATCAGGGGGCAAAGTAAAACAGTTCTCAAGCAGCTGTCGGGTGCAAGACCATTTAATTAACACTTTGCTTGGCTACCAGCTACCTCAGAGCTAACTGAGAGCGCCAATTTAAGGAATTTTTTGGTTTTTCTTGCCTGGCAAGTGATACACAGCTGCTGGAGGAGTTAATATCAGCGCTGGGAGACCTTCCCCAGGACAGAGGGAAGCAGCGGGGTCATTCAGCAGCTGTGAGTCCCCTGTGCCTGCTGGTGGAAGGACTCTGTCCCCTCCCAGTCGCAACAAGATCTTTTTTCCTGCCTCCCTTGCGTGCCAGTCGCCTTCTAATTAGCTGCATTTTTAATCTTTGCGAGTAGAATGCAGTCCCAAGAAAGGAAGTGTTTTTATCCTGCTGGAAAACTTAATGATCCATCCGAGAGTTTGATTTCCAAGCAGAATGAAAACTTGTGGATCGCGGCGACTCCATGGGTGTTATTTAATGATGTCGCTATTTCTTTTGGCCGTGTAAAACGTTCACCTCTTCTCTTGGACTTGCCCTGATCCTGTGATATGTTGAAGGGAAGCCTCCCTGGGGCGTTTGGGGCCGCAGTCATCCTCGGCGGGGAGGAAGGGCACTCGCCTGCCACTCGCTGACTTGCCATCTCTTTTGCAGACGCTGTGCCCCCGTCGGGTCCCGGCTCCGGAAGGACGACTCCTGGTCTAGCGAGCCCACCTGACCGCCGTGCGCAAGGCGTGTTAAACAGCTAAGAGAATTTAATGTTTTCTTCCTTCCCAGAAAGAGCCAGGGGTGGGAAAAAGCCAAATTGCTTGGAGCTCTGGCTCGAAGAGCTTCGAAATCAAGCCCACGTACCTTGACCTGACTCCCGGGGCGATGGGCTCCTGGGGGGGCGGGAGCGTGGTGGTGCTGTCGAGGCGTTTGTGTGCCGTCGCCGTCCGTTTCCACAGGGATTGACTCCGCGCTCGCGTGGGCGAGGGCTGAGCTAACCCTCGGGAGTGGGGGAGCAGGTGGGGGCTCTTCTTTTCCTAGAAAAAGCTGTCGGGCACTGGCTGTAGGGTGGTACAGCCAGCGGTGTATCTCATACCGTGCCTGCTGCTCATCGCCGCTGGGCTCCTTGGGCGTGATTGCGATAGCGACGGCAGAGCCCTCGATGTGAGTGGCAGGTCCGGGCGCTGCTGCTCGCTCCTGCTTGGGAGAGAGCGCGCTTAAAAAAGCCCTGTGCTGCAGGGAGAGACCCCGAAAGCAGGTACTTTGTCACCGTTACATTTTCAAGTATGATTAAACCAGCCCTGGGGCTGATTCATTGCTTCCAACAGGCGCTCGGGGAAGGTGGGTGAGACAGAAATGACAATAAAGTGGCACGCAGAAGAGTTTATTTTTAATCCCAAATATTTACGATCAACACCTGCTAAATGGCCAGTGAAATACATTTTATGGTGTCATTAATCTGCAATAAACTGCTTTTATTTTTAGACTGTTTGCACAACGTTGCCAGCCTGACTCATCGCCCTGCCTGTGTTTCATCTCCGCGGGGAAGCTGCAGAGAGCTTCCCTGCCCTCTGCCTTAACAGCCTTTTCCTTCTCTTCTCAGCGCTCATCCCACCTGCTGCTTGGATCGGCGGCACGAAGGGGGATATTCCATAACATCAAACCCCGTGCTGGAGGAGGAGATTCTTGCTGTAATTCTTGCTGAATATGTTTACCTGGAGATTTATTTTGGTGGGAAGGTAATTGGGCTTACAAAAAGGTAACAGGTGGGATAACTTTGGGGTTACGCATCTGAACGCCGCGAGCCAGCTGGGAAACAAGGCCCAAGGGGTCATGGCTGCACCAGGAGGGTCCCTGTCACCCTGGGCACAGCGGGGAGGGGGCTTTGCCGGGATGGGACACACACACACACTGTGCTTTGTCACCCAGGCCAGGTGTGAGCTTGCGGGGACTCGCTCCATCCGCAGCCCAAGCATGTTTTACCAATATCCCCCCCGCAGAGCAGAAAAGCGGGGCAAAAAGCCAAAGCAGACATTTCGGTATTCAGTGTTCGGCTCCCCCTCGTTACGCTGGGTAATTTAGCAGGTTGGGGGCTGGCTCTGACACCCCCCTGCCCGTCTGGCTGCCGGCCCTGTGCCAGGCGGAGCACTGCTGGGTACGGGAGGTCTCGCTGCCAGTGAGCTGTGAAATGCCCGATCTTCTATGAAGAATTAATTTGTATTGGAACTTGTTACCATTTGTGAGGTTTTTTTTCTTTTTTTTCTTTTGTTAATGAGGAAAATTAATTAGTGCCTCGGTCTGAGCCAGTCAGACTAAATTAACGTGCAGGCAGGAAGGGGGAGAGGGCAAGGCAGACCGGAGAAGCTGGTTCCCAGTGGGGCCACTGGATTCGATGGGGGCATAAGGAATACGAGCAATAACCAGGCTCGGGGGGGGAGAGGGGGGGAGAAGCGAGCTCCTTGCTCTGCCGGACGCGAGGTTGTCGGCCGCCCGCCCCGGCGGTGGCTGTGTTTTTGGGGGATGACTCGGGTGGGAGAGCCGCTCTCTGCTCGCACATCTACGGCAAACCCTGGAGACGTCACCACAGGCCTTGTGCAGCTTGTGCCTCTGAGTGGGGCAAAGCAGAATCAGATCTAAGCTGCTCCAGGGGATTTCAAGCAAATATCCAAATGATTAATCTCTTTTTTTTCTCGTGGTGTGATGTAATGAGGGTTGCTGGCATTTTCCCTCTTTCCCCATGAACAGATTTTTTTTTTTTTTCCACTGAATAGTTCAATGGCCACCGCTGGGAAAAAAAACCCAACCCAACCCTGACCTACACATGAGCGAACATCAGTGCAGGGTCCCGGCACGAGGAGCAGCCCAGCCTGGTCACAG